CCCCCCCCCCCCTTTCTCCTGCTGTCTTTGCCCCTTCCTCTTGGCCAGGGGCTCTCCATGTCCCCCGAGGACCCCGGAGGGGGGGCGTTATTGCCCGTTTGCCCCTTATTGGTATCCCTGTCCCCTTGCTGCACTCTCTTGCCTGCCCAAGGGCTTTGGAGGACCCCTTTCCTGCAGTGTTTGAACCTCCAGCTGCCTCCAGGATCACTCACTCGCTGTGCCACGGCCTCTTTGCCCTGTCCCAAGTTTGAGTTATTTTTTGCTAGTGTGTTTCCTTCTCTGGAGGCCTCTTCCATGCTGTGTGAAACTTCCAGTTTTGTTTTCCTGCAGAATGAAAATTTCTGCCTCTAGAGAGGCTCTGGAGTGAGTCAAAGATGCAGCAGGGACCTTGTCGCCCCTTCAGCAAAGGGTTTTGCTTGATTCTTGGCAGTCTTGGGGTAGAAGTTTGTCCAGCGTCTGTGCAGGATGCCACCGGGGAAGGCAAAGTCTATTCTTGTGCCTGCAGAAGATGCAAACAAGGAGAGTGCTTTAGTGACTCCCTGGAGATTGGGCATGTTTTGGTGTTTGGACAGGAAAGTGTTGGAAGCAAGGGGAATAGCCCAGCAGCTCTGGAAGCGGAGAGCGGGCTGCGACGTTGAGCTGCTCCGCTGCAGTCTCCTTAGCGCTGAGCAGTGGTTTGGAAAGAGTTTCAACATAGCACTGCACATAGCACCTTCCTCCCGCCGCCTCAGTCTGGTGTTGGGAGGCCGAATGAGCTTCTTGGCTTTTTTTTTTGCACGGGTGTGAGAGGAGCTCACACCTGTGAAGATCCCCGCGCAGCCCCAGCCTGGGGCTTCGTTGTAATGAGTTGTGCAAGGCTTGCCAAGATGCAAGAACAGACTGCGGTGTGGGCTTGGAGGTGGTTGCTGTCTGTCCAGGACAGGTTTACTCACTGTTTGGAAGTGGGCCTGGTTTTCTTGTGATTTCTGTCCGTGTAGATGAGCTGGTGGCATGTTGGCAGACAGGACAACGTTGGCTCCATCTCCATCTCTGAGCGATGGCTTTGAGCAGCTTGAGGCTCTTGCCAAAGTTCCTGAAGTTTCGTGGATGTTGGTTTAGGTGGATGAGCCCTTTCCAAGCCCTGTATTAATATGTTATTTTTCCAGTTGGGCGAATAGCAATTCTTAATGAAACCTGCTGAATCGGTAGCCCTGTGGTTCCCTTGTAGAGCAGGTTCTGAACACTTTACCCAAGCGCAAGCCTCTTCCTTAGGTTGCCTCACTGTTTTGCCCTAACTCCTCTCCAGTGAATCATTTTATTTTACTCCCTTGGCAAGCAGGATAAAAGGTGACTGTTCCCCCCCAGTGGTGGAGGGAGGATTTCCCACCTTCCATGGGTTTCACACATGCCAGGAACAGTTGCAGGTGGTAACGGCTGGTGTTGGGAGAGCTTGGAGAAGTTCCTGAGCAAGGGGATCACGTCAGCATCAACACAGAGTTTTATGCTGGTTAATCCAGACAACTAGAAACGAAGGGATTGACTAACTGGTCTCCAAAGTAAGGGTTGGAAGTGAAGGGTATAGGGTGTTTCCTCTAGGAAAAACACTTGATATTTCTCTTGCTAGGTGGAAAGAGAATAAACATATAAAGGTTTCTGTCTGCTGTGCTACCACAAGTTCCCCTTGATCATCTGTACTGTGACCAGTGCAGGCAGAGAAATTCCCAGTTGCTGCCAGCTACAGGAATGGCCTCCAGCAAGCAGGAACGCACCGGTGCTTCTCAGTAGCGACTCGAAGCTTGCCGAGTGCTCAGTGTAAACACCTCGTTGTTCCAATCTGTCTGTCTTGCATCATTGTAACCTGATGGCCCTAAATCTATTTTAGGATAATGAAGGGTCATGTAATTCCTTGCTTGTTTGTGCTGGGAGTTCTCTTCCTTGGAGTTCTTGCTCTGCTGTAATTAAACTGCTACAGGGTTTTGTGATTATATTGACCACAGGTTGACTTTTCCATAATACCTCTGCTTTCTTCCATTTTCCTTTTCTTGATCCTTTCTCACCATGTATTTATTACTGCTTTACCTACTGATTCTACACGGTGAGCTTTCTAAAGTGGTTTTCTGACAAAACATATAAAAATACAAGCAATCAGTGGTGCAGCTCATTGCATAGGATTTTGCTTGCTTAAACCATGCTCCAAAAATAGGTCATTTGGGTTCGGTCCTTTGTATTTACCAAACTTTGTGGCTTACTGCAGTTTATTTTCTTCAAGAACCAAGAAGCACCTTGCTTCAGAAGTGCAACATCTGGTTCCTGTCACAAAACAAAGATGCATTTAAGAGCAAGAACCATGCAGAGTGGAGTAAAGCAGTGTTGTGTGTGAAGTGCTTGGCTGTGCGAGCTGTTAATCGGCATCTTATTCTCTGCTCTTCAGTGAAATTGATTTATGGTGCTGTAGTTTGAGGTGAGAACTGAAGCACTTGGTTCCAAAGACGACGTGAGAAGCGGGATGAAGGAGGGGGTTGAAGCAGCAAGGCACGTGGAGGATCACAGGAGGTGCTGCAAGATAACGGACGCCACTCTTGATGTGATGATAAGGGCAGCTGGAGAGGGTGGAGTTGTGGAGAGCGTGCAGGGCAAGAGTGGGAAAACCCATGTGGCTCCCGGCCACGGAGGTGCCATGGTTGCATTTTTGCTGCCAGGAGGTGCACACTCGCCTGAAAGAGCATGGGGAGCATCTCGGCGGAGCTTTCCTGGGTGGTTCTTGCAGTGCAGTAGTATCTGTGCATTTTTTATTGATTTTTCTTTTTCTTTGCACAATTTTTATTTCCAACCTTGGCTATGCCCAGCCATGATGTTTTGACTATTTAGTTGCAGCCTGTCACTGGGTTAGAGGGCTGGGCCTGAAGAGTTGCATTGCAAGGTAACCCTCTGTCCAGCATCCACTAGGAGAGCTGCTCTCACAGCTAGTTCTTGCGTTGCTCCGGATTTATAGAACACTGTACTTCAGGAAACACGTATATCTTGGGTTAGAGACAGTTTGGAGCCACATCTGGGTTAAAAACTCAACAGGAGGACTTAACTGATTCTGGATTCAGAGTGATTTTGAAGCTTGATGGTGGTATCTAGCAAATGGTCTTGGGCATGTCAGTGTATCGGGTAATGAAGTGGTGACAGCTGCTCTTCAAGTGATACCAATCAGCCTCTTACAAATACCAAGATGTCCCAAATGCCAGTCTTGAGCCAGAAGTGGGTTACAGCACACAAATGAATTGGAAGTGGCCTTTAGACATGACAAGAACCCTCAACAACATGAGTTAAGCAGCAGCACGTTTTGCTGCTCAGAGCAAGTGTAATTTTTGTGGATAAAAGAGATAGAAGCTGAAGTGAGACAGTGCTCCTCTAGCATGGAGTGACAGGCTGGGAGTTTGTGAGTATGCTGGTTAAGATTTGAAGTGTTTGGTGATTGTTGTTGCTGTTGTTGTTTTGCTTTAAAAGAGGGATTTTCCTACTGCTTAAACATTATTTCAATGACAGCTGATTTCTTGATTGAGATTCCTTGCTCCATAAGGAGGCTCTACCCTGTGACATTGTGCGAAATCTGATTAGCGAGTCGTATCCGGGCACCGATTACCTACAGAAAAGCTCACGGCTAATACCTGGCTGGCTTACAAGCTTGCTTTGGAAAACATGCTACAAACCAGACAATTTAATTTTGCTATGTTTTTGATTAGCTTATTTTAACAGCAGAGTGGATTGGGTCAGGAGTGTATTAAGCTGTGCTGCTAATGGATGTATAGTGCTGTGTGCTTAATTTGTTGTCTGAGGTGTTATAGGAGAATGTTTATAAATCCAATCTCAGCAAGGCGAGAAGTAAACCCCCCACTTAAACCGATCAACTTCTGTCTTCCAGAGCTTCTGCCCAGAGAAGCTGTCACTCAGGATTCACATGTGCAGCTCAGGCCTGTTCTAAGCTTGCATTGTCTGTGGTCCCAAATGCAACTGAATAAAATGGGGTTTTATTCATGGGAACTCCTCCTATCACAGCTAGCTTTACTAATGCCAGTAATGTTTTGCAAAGCAAGTCTCCATCAGCATAGGCACTGTATGCCTTAATGCACCTCGCTCAGGGGCGCATCTGGGCTTAGAGCTGCACAAGGCAGACTAATGCAACGCTGATCGATGTCGTGGACTTGTCTTGAACACGGGTTGTGTTCTGGATCCGTGGGAAGCCGTCGCAATAGCATCAGGTAGAGTCACAGCCCATGCAAGCAAGTCCTGTAAGGGCTTCTGCCACGTGTTGGTGGTGGTGTTGTTGTTTTTTCTCAATATGTGCTGATCTTGACCTGTGGCAAACCTGTTGTTCCTGTACCTGTGGCCTTTTCCAGACCAGAAACATGGTCTTGCCAAACTATGTGGTAAATGTGCAATTCAATCCTAATGCCTGATAGAGGTAGGCTGAGGTCTCCAGTGCTTCTCGTTTTGGGTTCCTGCTGGTTATAGGAGACTGTTGCACTCATCTACCCAGTCCCATTGTGCTTTGATAAAGGCATAAAAATCTTACTGCTCAGCAGATACTGTTTCTGGGATGCCCAAGACCTGTATTTAGCAGGAGTCTTCTTTTAACGGGTATATTTATCTGTGTTATGTTTCAGCTAAATCAAAACAGTTTTGGGGGGCCAGGAGCCCATTATCTCACGATTCAGGTGTCGGATGTAGCACAGTGGTCCTGGTGATGGTATTCATCTGCAGCAATTGCCCCTTGAAATTTCAAGGGAAATACAGAAGTAATTTGGGGCATTTATAGGTACTACAGATCTCATGCTTATAGAAAAGTTCCCAAGAAGATTATTCATTTTTATTTCGATAAGTTTTTATAGTTTAATCTCTGTACCTCTTGTTATGCTTTCTGTTGCAATAATCTGACTCAAGAAAAAAAAGTGACTTTGTATTTTATGTTCAAAGGAACTTAAGTCCATGTAATGCATTGCTTGGGACAACCTCAGGAGTGGTATTTTGGTAGGTTTCAGGTGCCAAGCCTTTGCGTTGACATGGAGTTACATCATCAAAATGAGAAACTGTTGAGCAAAGAGCTGAGTTTCTTTAAAACTGGTTATTCTGGGGAGCCAAGTTGTGCATAAAGGCAGAGATCATTGATCTGTAGATGATCTAGTCCAGTGTCTACCCTGATCAGCACTGTATGCACGTCTACAGTTGAGTCCTTGGTCAATAGATGTTGACGTAGGGGGATAACATTTTAAGAAACAGCCATGACTTGGGTAATCGTAGAGCTTCAATTGACTAGAAATGTGTGGCAAATGCACCTGATGCAAGGCCTTCTTCTCTTTAAATATCTTGGTCTCTAAGAGATCAGCACCTCTCAGAGCTATTGGATTTTGGAGCTATTGGAACCGTTACTGGATTTCTGTAAGACTAATTCTCTGTGGTTGTCCAGCCACTTGGGTGTTGAGGTCTTTCTCTGAGCCTAGTGCTGCATTGGCTGGGCCTGTCTGAGCCTCAGATGAGAATTGCTGATCTTCTGTTCTGAAGTTTGAGGTGGCTCCAAAGCAGCAACTGGAATGCTTTCCTGAAAAATAGAGCAAATAATACAGTGCTTGGAGTTTTGTTTTGTGTTGCTTGGCATTTTGCTTTGTCACCTGTGCTGCTTTTCACTGCCCTCTCTCTGTGAACAGATTGTCTATGCAGAGCGACCGCTAACTGATAACAGCAGATCTTTGGCCTCCTATGGCTTGAAGGACGGTGACGTGGTGATCTTGCGACAGAAGGAGAACGTAGAGCCGCGGCCTCCGATCCACTTTCCAGGTGAGAAGGAACTTAGGTGAAACTTTTGCTCTTGACATGCAAAGGCGTTGGGGTTTGTCAGATGTGAACTCTGCCTCCTTTAGTACTGTGCTGGACAAAAACATTCAGAAATGCGAGCGGCTGGAAATGAGGCAGAGGATGTTGTTTTTAAATTAGTACAGGGGGTTACTCCTTAATGAGTTTTTTATTCTTTAAAAAAAAAAAAAACACA